AGCATTCCAGAAAAACACTCGTTAATTTCAGCAAAATTAACAAACATTTTTTGACGAAGACCCGAGAAATTTCCCAAAAGCGAAAATGATCTTAACTCTGGTTCGAGAGGGTGAAGCCGGTCAACAGACTGGGGCTAACAAGGTATTTGGAATATTTCCTCCCATGGCCTATTTCGACAACGAAAGTGAAATAAATTGCAACAATTTTGTTCAGGAAAGTTTCCGCTTATTTTTCGCCCCTCCATGTATAGAGCTTTAAAGCTAAACTTCCCTCTGGACATTGGTGGCCTGTCACACGAAGGCACCATCAAAACTGATATAGGAACAGGTTCGATGGGAGAGGCAGTAAGTGTTCTTTATCCGTCCATGTTTAATACAGTAGAGCAAATTTAATCGGTTTCATTATGGCTCTCTGGTTGAGGCAGTCGTGATTTTTTTTTCCTTTACTGGAACTGATATACAACTGGATGAAGTAGGGATCTATACTTCAACGCTTCACCAGGAGTGTGATCAAGTTGCTGCGTAAGGACAAAGACGATGGGGGATGGGATTTTCGCCCTTTAACCATGTTAAATACAGAGTTAAAGATTTTGGCAAAGATCTTAGCCAACCGTTTGCAGGCTGTCCTGTCTAATCTGATTGGCTCCGAACAGACTTGTGCTGTGAAGGGTAGGACTATTCAGGACAACCTTATACGGTACGCTTGATCATCGAGCAAGTCGACAGTGAAGCTGCGCTGATCAATTTAATTCAGTCTAAGGCCTTTGATAGAGTTGACCATCGATTCCTGGAGGACCTGTAATTTCGCACATGGATACGACCTTTGTATGCAACTCCCGGTGCACTGGTGGTTGTGAATGGGTTACGATTGGAACCTTTCGTATTGTCTCGCTACATTCGTCAAGGTTGTCCGCTTTCGCCTTTGCTTTACCTTCTTGCGCTGGAACCTTTCCTTCGAAAGTTAAATACGAATCCGATCCTACGCTGAATTTCCCTGCCTGGTGCTACCACCACGACCAGGTATTCTGATGAGGTTTCGGTTCTTGTGTGAGTAGAGCCGAGATTGAGATATCAGCAAAGAAAGTGGTTATGTGATGGGGACAGAGGCCAAGATCAACAACGATAAGCGTTGGCTTGCGGTTGGGCGCATGGAAGTAAGTTTCTTATCCTGAACTTTTTCTCTGGACGGGTAGACTGGTCTAGTTACTCAGCGTCTGGTTCGGTCATGATATCTAATTGGAAATGAATTTGTCGGAGATACAAGGAAAGGCCGAGATAGCAGTTAATCTCGGAGGAATCTTTCCTTAAATAGGAGGACGGAAGTATGTGTTTCACACATCTACCCGATTCTCCTTTACCGACTCTCAGTACTTCCACTTCCGTATACCACACTAATGTTATTAGTAAGTCTCCTGTTCTCCTTCTTGTAGGGAGGCAAGGCAGCTAGTGTATCTCGGGAGATCTGTTGCCTTCATCCATCTGAGTGTGGTCTAGTTATGCCTAACATTGAGTTTCTCAATATATGCTTCACATCAGGTTTCTAGATCGAATGTGTCGCGAATCGGATGAGGAGGGCGCCTTCTGAAAGGAAGACACCCGTAAGAACTTCCCATCCCTGAGAAGTGTGCACTCATGTGAGGAGGAGGCTTACCGTTTACCACGAGCAGAATGGTCTTTCTACCGTCAATATCACCTTTCTCCGAAACACCTTTTATGGGCATCGTATGACATCTCCAACATCCAGGCGCTGTCTCGTAGGGCATTATATCAAGTGTTTGTCAGGGGTCCATTCGTGATGAGCTGATTGACGAGCTCGGGCTTAGGAAGCAGGAGGCACGCTCAATCTGGCCTTGGGCGCCCAGGTTGAAAGGCCTCAATAACGATGGGGCATCACTCACCTGGCTGGTGAATTGTGGGGTCCACTGGGTCGCCAAAAGACTGTGTTCAGCGGGCATGGAGAAATCTCCAATCTGCCGACGCTGTGATGTGGAAGTCAAAACTACTAGTCACCCCTTCTTTCATTGCAATGTGGTAGTGCCGTTGTGCAAGTTTGTGCATGGTTCCTCTGCTACAACGAAAGTTCTTTGTCCTTGAGGCCAGTTCTGTTTGTAGCAATGTGGCACCGCCGTTGACGTAGGCTGAACTATGTGTTCTTTTGCTTACTAGGTGTTATGACAGTCGTGATTTGGACTACACGTCAAAAGGGATTTTATGGAGGCGAGAAGTTCACTTCTTCCCAACTAATCTTGTACTTTAGACTTCAGCATAAAGTAAAGATTAGGACGGAAAGGAGGCAGTTCACTTCACAATAATTTGGTAAAAGGTGGGTGAATCTTGCGCAATTGTGTCGAGTGAAAGGAGCTGACGTAGAGTGGCACTTTGATGCCGGTTAGACATCAGGATATTGTTCATCTTGGGTTGAACTTAGGTAACCCCTCCCGTAATTAGGCTAGTTTAGGATTATTTTTGATTCTTTAGTTTCTTTTTTCCAGTTAACTTAGGTAGGCTATGTTTGCTCATTAACCCCTTTTATTTCTGTCTGTATTTTCCTTAACTTAATTCCCATCTCTACCTATAGACTGTCTGTGATGTCAGTTCTCTGGTGGATGCGGGATGCCTTTCGTTTCGGGTGTGTGTTTTCATTTTTGTTGTGTCTGAGTGCCTGTCTGTGTGAATGCTTAGGATGAATGTATGTTTTATATTATTATAGTTCCGCATTCAGTTAACTGAAGTTTCTGCCGCATTTAAGGATTGTATGGGTTTTATTACTACCATTATTTTGTTTAGTTACATGTAAATAGATTGTATTGAGGAGGCACGGTGGAGTAATGTATAGCGGCTTGGATTAAGGAATCGGAGAGCCGAGTTCGAATTCCAGTCGAAGCCATTACATTAACGTACGTGGTAATACCCTTGGAAAAGGTGTGAATCCTCTTCTTCTCCCTCCAGCTATGGGTAAATAGCCTTGGATGGCAACTGGTCTAGGATAAGGACAACTCTGAATTCAAAACCTGCGGAGGCTCGTTTGGGGACCCTGTGTCACGTAGTCCACCAGGTCTCTGTATTCGGCCCTTCAAAAAGTGTGGCTGGTCCTGCACAAAACCTTCACCACTATAATCAAATCTCATGTGCTATACATGCGGGTTGGGGACCGCTTGAGAATTTCAAATTCCCATGAAACTCCAATATTAGAGCCGGCTCAACCCACCTCGGGTGAATGCCGTTACAGTTACAGGTACAGGTAAATAGATTGTATTCATATTGTAAATACTAATTGGGTCTTTTTAAATTGTGGTCCCCCCCACAGACAATGTATTGTATATACGCGGACTAGTTAGGATTTTCATAGAGATAATGTGGTATTATGGTGGATGTAGTAAAAATGGTACGTAAGAATGTGTTGTTTTGGTGTAAGCAATTTTGTTTGTATGATTGGCTCAGTGTTTGTAGCTAGCTAAGTTTAAAGTTAAGACAGAAGAAGTCCATCTTTTCCTCAATCCCCATTTTCGGCTTTGTGCCACATTTTCTGTAATTAAGCAGATATAAATATCACAGTCGAATAGATTGAACGCTGGGTCAACCGACACACACTCACTAGTCGTGTAATACTCTTCTGTTGTACTTACTGTCCAATATATGATATATCTGCAACACTTTAACCATTTACTTGGTCAAAGCATAAGTGAATTGTACTTTTTCCAGACAAACCGACATCTGAGCGTTCAAAGAAAGCTTCAAATGTACTCGTCCACTGCGAGGAAAGTTGACTCCCTGAGCCGCGCAGGGAAGTTTTTATCCCCTGAGTCGATCCTCCAGCTATACAAATCCAGAATTCACCCTTGCATGGAGTATTGTTGCCATATATGATCTGGTACCCCTTCTGTTTGCCTCGGGGTTCTTGATAGGCTCCAGAGGCGGATATGCAATATGGTTGGCCCTGCCCTGGCGTCTCGTCTACAGTCACTTTCTCACAGACGCGCCGTCGCCTCCCTCTGTCTATTCTACAAATGCTTTCATAGAAATTGCTCCGAGGAGCTGCATTCGCTGGTTCCCAGACTTCATGAGTTCCAGCGCCCTACGAGGCTGGCATCCCGCTCTCACCCCCTCACTGTCGAAACTCCTAAATGTAGCCGTCTCTTCTACTCCAATAGCTTCATGTCTTGCACCTCTCGCCTGTGGAACTCCCTTCCCTATTCCTGTTTCCCTGTGAGCTATAATATCCAGCTATTCAAGTGTAATGTCAATCGACAACTCCAGTTGTCTTGATCTATCCACTACCCTCATCCTTTCTTCTATCACTCCTATCTGATCTTGCTATTTCCTGTAACCCCTTGCATCCTAGTGGCTTCCCGCCTTGCTTGGGGTGAAACGCTTAAAAAAAAAAACTCGTAGAAACTTCGCTTGAAAATGGACAAAATGATTATAATGTGTACAAACTGCACCAAACTTCAATTAATGATAAGATTACCTAGGATGGGGTAGGCTGAAATGTTCATGGGCTGACAAGTTCATAGGCTGACTATGAAGGAGTAATTCTATGAATGCCTTAATTTCAATACTTCTTATTAATAAGTGCATTGATTCTTCCGAGGTAAAAAGATATCTGACTGTTCAAAGAAGACGTCAGATATAGCCGGAAGTGAACTCGCTTGAAAATGGTCAAAATTTTCATCGTGATGCTATCAATTACTTGCAGAAAAAGGGTTTAGACGGCAAGGACATTCATGCTGACATGATTGCTACATTGGGGATGACGCCCCAGTTTAATTCAAAAGTGCAAATTTGGGCAAGTGAATTGAGTAGGAGAAGGAAGAATCTTGAAAAGTCACAACGTCTGGATGTCCTGCAACTGCCATCACCGAGGAAATTATTGATCGTGTTCACCACAAGGTGAAGCAGACTTTGAAGAAATGAAGTAAAGGAATAATAAACTTAAAAAACAATGAGGGGAAATTTAAAATAAAATTAAATAAAATAAAATGAAAAAAGAAATGATGAAACTATAAAAGAAGGGAAAGAAAGAAAGTTTTTGAAAAAAAAAAAACAAGAGGCGTGACTGAATGTAAGAGATAAAATGTATTAAAGAACATAAGGAATTTGAAGAGAAATAGAGGCAAGATTAAAAGTAATAGAGGAAAAAAGAAAGAAAAAATGAATGCTGAATCTAAGAGGAGGAAAATAAAGTAAGAAGAAAATAAAGAAAGTTTGGTGAGTTGGAAAACAAAGAGTGGTGAGAGTGAAAGTAAGAAAGGAAGAAAAAAAGAAAGGTAATAATGAATTGACAAAGAAATAGGAGGAAACTTGAAAGTAAGATGGGAAAAGAAAGGAAGAAAGAAAGAAAGAAAGAAAGAAAGAAAGAAAGAAAGAAAGAAAGAAAGAAAGAAAGAAAGAAAGAAAAAAACAATGATTAATTGAAAAAGAAATTGCGGTGATATTGGGGAAAAGAAAGAAACAAAGGAAAAAGAATGTCGAATCTAAAATGGAGGAAAAGAAAGAAAGATTATTAAGTTGAAAAACAAAGAGAAGCTAGAAAGAAAGAAAGAAAGAAAGAAAGAAAGAAAGAAAGAAAGAAAGAAAGAAAGAAAAGTAATTAATCATGAATTGAAAAAGAAATTGTGGTGAGATTTGGGAAAAAGAAAGACAGAAAAAGAATGCCGAATATAAATATGGGGAAAAGTGCGAAAGATTATTATGTTGAAAAACAAAGGGAAGCGTGACTGAATGAAATCAATAAATAAATAAATAAAGAAAGAAAGAAAGAAAGAAAGAAAGAAAAGTAATGATGAATTGAAAAAGAAAACTAGGTGAGAGTGAAGAAAAGAAAAAAAAGGAAAGAAAAATGTAATACCGAATCTAAATGGAGGAAAAGAAAAAAAAAAGGAAAGGTTATTGAGTTGAAGAATAGATAGAAGCGTGACTGAAAGGAAGAGAGGGTAAGGAAGAGAGAGGTGAGATTGAGGAAAAGAATGGGAGAAAGAATAATTAATTGGTGAATCCAGCTTTCGAACATGTTAACACCCGTATCTCGAAGCAGCGCGGACACGGCATTCAGTGTGCAGATTCCATCATAAAATTAAATGTTGAGTGGATACTCTTTGAATATGAAAATGAAATTTTACAAGGAATTGGTTTACGGTGAATGGAGGTGACGCATATTAACAGAAGAGCAAGTGCAATAGTTCTGTACATGGATGAGTGGAAGCCATGGTTTAACGTTTCATTGCACGAGAATGCCAAATGCACATTTTAAACTGGAAAATAATTAATATTTAACAATAAAAAAAAAACTCAAGTGACAAGGAGAATAAAAAAAGAATGTACAGATAAGAAATAATAATTAGAAACCATAAAACGAATTCGGAGAAGAGGATGCGGACGTTCAGAGCTGAAATAATCAACGTATACTTGATTAATCAGTTATGCGCATGCGTGATATACGCTTAGGTGATCATGTATCTTTCGATACATGGCTGACGAGGCAGATTTTTCCCGCAGTAGGTTGCATTATATTCACTTCCGTGCTAATACCCTTGGGAAAGGTATGAATCCTCTCCTTCTCCTATCAGCTATGGGTAAATAGCAGGACACACCGGGCTCTATAGCCTTGGATGGCCACTGGTCTAACGCAGAAAGAAATGGCAACCTACAAGCTGGGAAAAAATCAGCCTCAACATTCATGTATCGAAAGATACATAATAAATTAAGGGTGTATCACGCATAACACATAACTGACAGTAATTGGGAAAGATGTCATCCAGAAATTAAGCAAAGTAATTAGGAATAAGAAAAAAATAAACAAAAAAAGCGCCCAACTCTTATGTAATATTAATCGCCCTATATGAAATGCATTTCAAAATGTGTTTCGCAACGCTAAGTTCGAATTCCAGTCGAATCCATTACATTCACTTACGTGTTAATACCATTGGGAAAGATATGCATCCTCTTCTTCTCCCTCCGGCTATGGGTAAATAGCAGGGCAGACCGGGTTTTATAGACTTGGATGACAACTGGTCTACCGCAGAAAGAAATGGCAACCTAATGCGGGAAAAATCTGCCTCAACAGTCATATTTCGAAAGATACATAATCGCCTAAGCGTGTATCACGCATGACACATAACTGACTGATAATTGATTAATATTTAATAAGTCTAGATCATCTTTAACTTAACCAGTTATTTCTGGGGCTATATGATAATGATTTATGGTCTCCTGAAAATTTTTTATATTCTTGTGAAGACGTATTGCAATGTTTATATAAAATAGCATTATTCCTCAAATGTTATCAAATTTCAGAGCAGGTATTTTGCTTGAAAGCATACTAAAGAAAAGGGTCATCTATTACTGACAAAAGATGCTGATGAATATCGATAAAACATGCAATAGACTGAAGGGGATTCAGATTTATAACTGAAAATCTTCAAGGGGCTGTTTGAAATCGAGATACCAGTGGTACAGTTAAAGAACTCCCAGTTAGATTTCTACAACGAATACTGAAAAAAAAAGATATATGCTACAACTTTCCCAATGCGTTCTATAAAAATATCTACTTATCCTTATAGACGAAGAAAATACATCTTACTATGTGTAATATCTCAACGGCGAACACATATAGTTCAGCGGGTCTTTAATAGTGACTAGGTCATCCTCCGAAGTCATGTACTCCAAACACCGAAGAGTTGGCTTTGAATCTGAACCCGCGAATGAATTGCTTCTTGAAATGGAAATATTGTAGAATTCCTGTCTCTTTGATGGAACTCATTATCCCAGTATTTCACAAGAATGTGCAATCTTATATTCTGGGTTATTCGTTCTTCGACTCGGCTTTTATACATACCATCTAAATTCTGTCAAATTATTCTGGACAAAAACAGAAAAGCATCGTGAAGCGAAACATACGTGTACCGGCAAAGAATGGCCTTTTCTGGAGTTCAATCATGACCAAGTTCTTTTCCTAGATCAGATATCCAGATTGTGTCATCCGTCCTGGGTAAGACGATAAACTACGTCCAACAGCATGGCCTCTGATCGGGGGTTTTGAGGAGCGTGGAACCACCTTTTAATCGCTGGTCTTTTCAGGTCCACCATGATCCGGAGGTGGTAGCACCTGTTAGGGTCACAGCTATGGGCAAACAGTTACCCCCCCCCACAAATGGAGTCAAAACTCTATGAAAGTGTAAAAATAGGTTTTACTACCAGAAATATTTTGTAAAAAGAATTACCAGCAATATATTTTTGAAAAAAGAAATATTTCAAGCAATAAAATTTTGTCGACATTAAATAACTCATTGATGTTGGGATGCCGTCAAACAAACCAAACCAAATCACAAATGAACCCAATGTTAACATTTTTAAAACTTATAATTTTCGAACATTCATGCCCTGAAATATTTCCCTACTTATAAAAAATGCCGAAAAGTAATGTCCAAAATATTTTTCTACATTTAAATATTTATATTTATTACCTTATTCATATATATTTGCAAAGTTTAACAAATGTACCCCAAAAATGGTATGTGAAAAAGAACTGTTTTCCTCTTGACACTGCTATTACCATATACTCTCAAGGCAAATTATTGTTTTCAAAAAAGCTTTTATTTTTTATAATTTTAATAAAACCCAGATATGAGGATCTAGATCTAAACGTTTTTATTTTGGGGGGAATTTGCCAAGAAAAATATTAAATATGATTTATTTATTAGAATGTTGATCTACAGGAATACTTTTTATTACCAAGATTATAAAATATATGGAAAACAACTACATTTAATAAGAGTAGATAAGCTCGCATATCGTCCAGTTCATACTCTTCCCCGATTTTTTAACAGAAGTGACAGTTTATCCCTTGCTTCCTGTTTAGGATTGTGCTTCAGTTTCCTTCAACTCTGTATTTTGACGTCTGCGTCAGGCATTTTATTCAATAGTCATTTTCTTCCTCTACCAATAGGATTAGATAGGATTGCCTATAGTTCTTCTCTTCCCCACATATCATCATAAACAGAGCATCTTATTCTGTAATCCTGTTCATCTAGTGGGTCTTGGGCGTTGCCCAGGGCGAACGACATTATAAAATATAAATCATTTTGCCCGTCATCAGCATGGTTGATGCTAAGCTCTACTGCTCCACCTTGGTCTCAGATTTTCCGCTAACAGGATGTAGAACATTATATTCAGTCAGTTACTAAGTGTGATCTTCGAAAAAATGGTTCCCTATGTCGTGACAGACAATTATTCTTGCGTTTTTGTGCATCTACTGTTCGCCCCCTGCATTGAAAATTGCTGCCGCATTTTAAAATTCCTCCATTATGAGAAGTCTTGCACCCAACGACATTCATCGATATGAGCCCAAATTATGTTTCTCGGGAATTACACATTTCCCGCGAATTAATGTATACGTTACTAATAGAAAAGGAATATCATATGTATGATTTTCAAATCAATTTCTCGCAGTTTAATAGCATATTCTATCAGCGGGAATCAACGTGTATCTTTTTAAATTATATATCGTAAGAGAAAAGAATTTAAAATTTAAGGGAGAAATAATCTTGATTTTCTGTTCTGGTTTTCGTTGCACACGACTTGACTTCTACTAGTAAATTGCGATTATTTTCAAACAGCTAAATATGAGTATTAAATTTAACGTGTCATGTATGCAGTGTCTCCAGCGTCTATGACGACAGATCGAAAGCTCTCGTCCGAAAATAACAACAACTGGCGACTCATATAAGTAAGAGATGAAAATTTATGGAAAGTTCTTCGTTATTTTCAGCTTGTATTCTGATTTTCCCCGGTTGCTATTTTATTTATTTATTTCCATTTGATTTGCTTTTATTTGGTGTGGCAGTGGAGGAGGGTGATTATTTCCAATTCTCTTCGAATGTCACCTTCTTTCAGGCAACCGTAGAAGAGGACGGGAAAGAAAGGAGACAAAGAAAAAGAAATATGATCAAGCCTTAAACAAAATTATGTGCGGAGTAATTTTCTGCATGGTGTTTAAACGAGCGTAAAATCAGTTCGGTTAGCCATAAAGAGCCTGTGTATTTTTTCCTATCACAGCCGCACGCATATATAAGCACACACATATTTAAACTTCCCAGTTTAAATACAGAAGATATATATGTGTATAGTGAAGAAAAGAAATCGGAATGAGTATACATTGTTGCTCTCTCTCTCACTCTCACTCTCTCTCTCTCTCTCTATATATATATATATATATATATATATATATATATATATATATATATATATATATATATATATATATATATATATATATATATATATATATATATATATATATATATATATATATATATATATATATATATATATATATATATATATATATATATATATATATATATATATATATATGCCAGTATAGGATTGGTGCATACTGATGAATTCAAATAAACAAAAAATACTGTTCTTAAGAATGCACAATACAGAGTAAAGCGAATATATTTTATTCGAAAATTATAACATAAATATGCTATAAAATCGCTACAAAAATAGTCATTTAGGTTTCAATAATGGTTTCTTATCAAGTGATGGAGTTGACTGTAGAACTAAGTGTTTTAAAAGTTATTTTTGTAGTGATTTTATAACGTATTTATGTTACAATTTTCTAATAAATTACACACACACACACACACACATATATATATATATATATATATATATATATATATATATATATATATATATATATATATATATATATATATAAAAATGTATCGCCAGGTATTTGGTAAGTTAGGAGACGAGTGAAAAAATGATTTTTTTACAAATATTTATTTTTTTTATTATGGTCGCTTTTCTCTATACAACTCGTCTCCAGCAATTACTTGGGATATTATTCTTTGAAGTATTCAGATCATAATACAACTGATGTAAGCAAACGATAGTACAGATCATTATTCAAATATATGTGCTTGCGCATACAAATATACACACATATATACATACATACATATATATATATATATATATATATATATATATATATATATA